CTGCTCCCCAAGGCGGTTTCCAAATTCCGCGCAGCTTTGACCCCTGACCTAGCTCCAAGCAACCTGCAGAAGCACTTCTTCAAGCTTGGACTTTGCCTAACGGACAGAGGTTTTAGAAAGCTTTTCCAAAGTCGGAACAGTCTCCCTAAGTGGGACGTTTCAGGAGCCCGAGGGTGGCCAACTAGCCACAGCTGTTGACAGTAGCCTTGAGAGGGCAGAACTCTGATTTACAACTAGGTGGGACCCTCATTTGAGTTAGAGGCACAATAATGTCGAATGAACTAAAAACACGTCCCAAACTTTCTGACCTTTGGTCTCCTCAGGCTTCCACAAAAGCCACAGAAAACTCCAACTGTATAAAACCACTTGTGTTGTGGACACTAAGCCCCCTTAGTAGTGGACACGAGCCTGGTACTGTACGTTTGTAATCTCAGTTACTAAGGAGGTTGTGGCAGAGGAATTACAAGTTCAAGGGTTGCCTGAGCTACAAATGGGTTCAAGGCCAGCTTGGAAACTTAGTGAGATTCTATCCCAAAAAAGAAATAAAAAGATAAAAATAAAAATAAAAGGAAGGGGACCTGCAGAGTTAGCTCAATGATAAATGCTCATGTAGTATGTTGGAGGCTCTGGGTTTAAACCCCAGCACATAAAACAAACAATTCGCTCCACCCACTCCACCCCCACTGGCTTTGCTATTTTCCAGTTTTTCCTGCTACAGCTGAAGGTGTGAATGCTGGCAGGACTGTTCTTACTAGTATAACTCAGAAGTTGGTGGCCATGAAGATGATCAAGAAGTGGGGACAAGGATAGCCAAGGAGAGGTTGTGGGGTGTCCCTTGTCATTAGCTTGCTGGACCTGAGGAGAAGCATCAGCTTTCTGTCATCCATTCACATTCTAAATAATTTCTTTGTGGAAAAAAATAAAAAGAGGAAGCTCTAACTGCTGAGGGAAAGAAGAGATTTTCCTCCGAATCACGGTACTTACTGATGAGTAAAAATATCCCTGTGGTAAGAGAGTCCTGGGGCTCTGGCCTCGGCTCCCTACATTGGGTCACCAGGGAACTCTGAGTTCTGCCACATACATGCTATGTCATGAATCTCTGAGACACTCCTAGGATCCTGCTGTATGACCTATCTGTCTGGTCCTGTTCCCTATTGGCCTGACAGTGTAATTGTAGAAAATGAACATTGGGGAAACTGGGCAGATGGCTTACTAGAACAGGCAGTGGAAGAAAGAAAAGAAAGGAAAAGACGCATCACCACTTTGCTTAATGTCTCCCGCTTTATAGATTTTTTTCTGGTAGTTTTGACAGCAAACGCCCCCCAGAAGATGTTGTATGTATTGCAGAAAAATCCTTCATTAGTGATTACGAACTGATTGGATTAATAATGTCACCAGACCAGACTGGCTTACTTACACGTGTCCTTCCCTCACCTCCAGTTCAAAGGCAGTAAGAAGAGCAGTTCTGGTTAGAATGTTCTGATTACACACAACTGGGGCCCTGTACTAAACTAAACTAATTGCAGAGAGCTAGTGTGTACATCAGTCTATCTGTTTTTCTCCCCCCCCCCAATTCTAAAATCCAGCTTAGAAAAAAATTGTATACATGAAGAAACATTCAGAGTAAGAATATCAAGGCTTCCAGGAATATTAAAAAAAAAAAATGCCAAGGTACCAAGATAAGAATTTAGGATTGAGGTCAACTTTGGTAAAATGCCATGCTCTCTGAACCAAATTTACTTCTGAGTTCTCCTGCCCCACATCCATTTTGTGGTGCTGGGATCTAACCTAGGGTCTCATGAATGCTAAGCATATATTCTATGCTGAGATCCATACTCAATTGTAATAATATGCCATTTAAAATATATTTACCCAGTTTTCAAGATTTAAAAATTAAAACTACATCAATTCTAAAAGTGTGGAAATAATTCATGGGCCTGGAGAGTTTTTGAAAATAATGTTTATGATTCATAAAAATGTACATTCATATAGTATGAAATGAACACATTTTAAGAAAGTTTAAGCATAGATAGTATTGTTCAATTTCACAAAATATATTTTGATCAAAATATTTTCAGTATAAAAGGGTCTTCAATTTACCAAGGAGAAGTTATTTTTTAAAATTATAATGAATGGAGGTTTTCCAGACTAAAGGACTAAAACACAGGTTGTATTCATGCATGCCTGACTCAGCACAACTGTGCATATGAGGACACTGGGCAGTTAAGGTGTCCCATGAAGCAGACTTACCAAAAATAAAGGGTACATATGCACACACACACACACACACACACACTCACTCACTCCTTCACTCAGAGTCTCAGCACTCATCTGTGCACACTTGCACTTTGTTTTCATTAAGCACTCATTCACATGGGAAACCACACTGTAACAATGGATGTTCCAAAGAATTTTGTAGAGGCTCTATTTTGTCTGAAACACTGGAATTCTCTCTTAATGGAAAAAAAAAAAAACCTCCAGAATAAGGGGAATTTAAATAAGACAAACTTTGCAAGTTTTTTTTGTAATTAACTTAAGTTAATATATGTGCCAAACAAACACAAGTTGTTCTCCGTGTTTGGAGGCCAGGAGAAAGTGGGAGTAGCTTTGCTTTTATACCAGAGGATAAAAGGAGGCGGCAGGTGGTGGTGGCTTCTAGTCTCTATTCTTTCTAATGCCAGCTCATTCCTTCATCCTAGACTTTTAGCTGGCTAAATGTACATTTAAGCTTGGCAGATCCATCGCATTAACTTATGCTTTTTTAGGTTTTAAAAGAGTTGTTTAAGACAAAATACAAACAAATACAAATAATTAGAACAAAAATGTTTATATTTTTGGCTATTAAATAAAACAAAACACAGTTCCAGGATTTACCTGGACAAAGCAGCAGTTCTTTGGCAATGTTAGGCATGTAATAGGACTGCCATGTTGATGAACATTATTTTGATAAGAAGTCTATAAAGGGTTGATCTTCATTAGAAAGCAACTAGAAATTATCAAATGTTAAGCCTTAAGAATTTACGGTAAATAGGATATAATGAACAAATTTAATTTCTCCTGGTAATCAATTATTGGCATTTTCCCCAGTTACTCAAACTCTATTATTACATGAACTAACAGAATGTAAAATGAGCATTTTGTAAAAATCTTCTAAGGTAATTTTAATATAAGCTATGAGAATAAATTAATCAATTGTAGTTGTTCTTCGGTAGCAAAACCAAATGAAATACAAAGTATTTTTTATCAAATAAGTTGAACAGTGTTTACAGATTTGTAAGTAAACTAAGTACCCAATCCTCCTCATTTAAGTTTTTGTACCACTTGTCGGTCGATATATCATCAACCAAACTAAAAACAAACTTCAATCTGATAATTCTATGTGATAACGGAACACATGAGGACTAGAGTTCTGCCGATTTTTCTAGATTCATATAGAGCAAATTAACCGGTCCTGTTAGAAGGCAGCTATAAAAAAATACACATCATCATAAGCTATAAAGAACTTTAAAATCCAGTTAGAAGTGGAGGAAAACTGGAATTTCTTATCCTATCTGGAGAGGGCTATATATCCAAAGGTTTTTCGAAAGAAGAGCCTTCGGTATTCTGGCCCAATTCTAGGGCACCTCTCTAAACAGAGAGGGCGTCAAAGGAAACCTCGGGCTGGTTCTGCGGTCAGACTTGATCCCGAAGGCGGGCCAGTCTCTGGGACAGTTCGTCCTGCTCAGCCGAAGCCACGCTCGTTCCCACGGAACCGGTCTGGCCCTGGGGCAGCTCCATGTTGAGGTCGAGGCCCGCCTCGTCTGCCATTTCCTGGAGCAGCATATCCACTTGGTTCTGGGGAGTGGTCAGCGTCGTCGTACTGCTCATCGTGTCTTCCATTTGTTGCGTCTGCACGTCCAGGGTCTCAAACTGGTGCTCGAATTTGTCCATCAAGGCAGAGATCTTCTCCAGATTCATGGTCTTCAACGTCGCATCCATCGACTTAACCACACCGGCCATGGACTTGGTTACTTTGCCCATCGTCACCGCAGTTTGGACTCTGGCAGCCACCGCATCCACCCGCGCACTCATTCTCAAGAAATTCACCGCTTGGTTCTTCTGGCGGATGGCATTTTCGGCGTGTATCCTCGCAACTTCCATGTTGCCCTTCTGAATGGCCTTTTTAATTTTGGCTTTTTCGGCCTTTTCCTCCTTGTCGCATTTTTTGGAACTCCTGTTCAGTTCTTTGGCCGCGAACTTCAAGTTGAACAGATGTTTCTCCATGTTGGACATGGTCGTGCGGCTTCTGTGGCGTGGGCCGGGGTGAAGAAGCAGGGATACCGGCTCAAAGAGGTCCGCTCCCAGTAGGCGCTCCTTTGTTTTGGTCTCACTTCCTGTAACTACCGCGAGCGGCGCAGACAGTGACGTCAAACCGGCGCCGGGTGGGGTCCGCGGGAGAAAAACCGGGCCAATAGAGGGCGGTGCCGGAGGGCGGTGCCCGAGTGACGGACAGCGCCAGGCTCCGCCTACCTAGGCCCCCGCGGCTTCACTGCTGGTGTTTACCTGGCTGCCTCTTTGGCGAATTTCCGCTTAGTTTCTAAGGCAGCAAAACTAGGAGCAAATTCCTAAAACAGTTGCCCACAGGCACTTTTTATTTTTGTGGGAAGTGTAGCTACCGAAGAAGACCGGATAGGTCCAGACCTGCATGTAAAAAATATCCTGGTGGGGCTGGAGAGATGGCCCAGAGGTTAAGAGCACTGCTTACTCTTCCGAAGGTCCTGAGTTCAATTCCCAGTGGCTCACAACCTCTGTAATGGGGTCTGGTGTTAATGAGGTCTGGTGCCCTCTTCTGGCCTGCAGGCATACAGACAGAATATTGTTTACATAATAAATATTAAAAATATATATTTATTTATTTATATATCCTGGCTCCTGCTAGGGAGGACCTGTCTTTGAACGCTGCACTAAAATCCTGCAGAGTAGCAAGACAATTTCCCTGAACTAAACCTCTCTTTGTACAGGGAACATGAACAGGAAGACAAAGTCGCATATCAAGACCTGCAACTTGGTCTTTGCCAGGGATCGCTGCATGGTTCAGATGCTTCCTTCCTGACCGAACTCCAATCCTGACCAAACTCCAAACCCTGGCTGGTTGCTCAGTTTACAGGGGAACTGCTGGCAGTTGTCTTCCTAAAGCCTCCTATTTCTGAACAATTAAAACGTCCCATCGCTTGCTAGTACGATTTTGTCTTTCTCCTGTTTTATAAATACTAAGGAGCTTTGAGGCGCGGAGACCCACACACTGGCACACATCAAGCCTTTGAGGTACTTTAACAATAAATGCAGGCTTTCCATGGCAGCATTGTGTACTGTAGCTTTCCTTTACAAACATTCTTCCCACACAGCAATAACAAGATGGCAGAAGGCCCACTGTCCTCAAGAGCTAGCAGAAGACACTGAATATATGAGCAAATTCTGTTTAGAGATTATTTTAGTCCAGAGTCCTCCATCACTCAGGTGATAGATTGTCAATCAGTTAAAGTGCCTATGCCAAGGGCATTTTCCAAGAACACAACTCCATTATTTTTTCTTTTTTTCTTCAAGATAGGGTTTCTCTGTGTAGCTTTGGAGCCTGTCCTGGAACTCGCTCTGTAGACCAGACTGGCCTCGAACTCACAGAGATCTGCCTGCCTCTGCCTCCTGAGTGCTAGGATTAAAGGTGTGTGTCACCAGTGCCCAGCCAGAACACAGCTCTTACTTACATTATTGTTCTCTGCAACAGGGACACACAGACGACCCTCCTCCGCAGGGCGTGTTTCCTTGCTGTGCAAGTCTAACCAGCCTCAAGAATGGAAATTGCTCAAGATTTGTGTCACTGGACCAAAGTAGAGATGGGTGAAAAATGACCCCTTCCTTGTGCCTATACCTACTGAGGTTCTCTCCCCCATCCAGCCTTCCCAGGACCCCTTACTGTAATACAGTTGAATTCTGCAAGGTTGCCAAAGCATAGGACATATGCCTGGTCCTCATCTGTCATGACATTAAGTACCCGATAGTAGTGAGCACTACTCGGCTGTCCCACTGTGCAGTGGGTATAGGTAGTGTGTCTAAGAAAGCTTTATTGACTGGAATGTAGCTGAGGGGCTGTGGCATTATTCCAATCAGTAAGCTTAGCACTCACCACCTCCCATCCTCAGCAAAGCTCTTCCTCAAAGGAAGCGGTTTGGAAATGTCATCTATAAATGAACTGAGAGTAAGAAGAGAGGGTGTCTTGAGCCTTTCTGCTCACCCTCAACCTACTCCCCTCCCTGGTCTTTCTTGTAGCTTACAAACAAGTTCTTTGTCAATGATCCCTAACTCCCTCTTCTCCACTTTCACTCTCTCCCTTCTTTGTTTTTTTTTTCATGGACCTGGGAATGGAAGCTAGGGCTTCATGCACACTAGACAAACGCTCTACACCGATCCATGTCCTAGTCTTACTGCTTTCTTCATAACAGATTCTCATTGGGTGGGATGGTTTGGAATACAACCATGACACACTCTGATAGCCGGAGCTAATGACTACCACTGTTCATTAAATGTTTAACTGCTAAGCATTGCTCAGCACTTTCCATAAATAAACTCATTTTATCGTCACACGTAGACACTATTAATAACTCAGTTTTCAGGCAAGGAAACCTAGGCATGGGAGTTAAGTAACTCGGCAGAAGTCACAATTCTGGTTAAATGTTAATATCAGATTCCATGACACCTGCAGCAGCAGCAGCAGCAAGTTAATCCAATACAGATAACAAGAGCAAAGAGATCTCAGCACCTGGAAGTTTGAGGCAGGAGGATATGAAGTTCTAAGCTAGCCCGGGCTATTCAGTGAGAATCTGTCTCAAAATCCTAAACACAACAGTAACAAAACAAATGATCATTACTTATCCTAGAAAAATAAGTCAGCGGAGCAGCTGTTCCCTTGAGAAGACTGAGGAATGTCAGCAATTGCAAGGCTGATGGAAGGTGGGGAACAGCCACTGAAAGACCCTACACTTAGTGAACTCCAGCTAGGCCACTTCTCAGCGTGGGTGGAGTCAGGAACCATGTACTATCTACAGCATCTTGACACAGGAAGGCTGACTTTGTCCCTGGCAGGTACTTTCCTCTCCCTGAGTAATGAATGTAGTACCCCATGACCTGCTTTTTCTCTTCCATGGCTTTTTCTCTTCCCTGTAACTCAACATGATCTAAAACTTCTACCTCCTCGGCACCTGTTACTGCAGCAAATCTTTATTCTGTTCCTGAGACTCTCACATAGCTGGCTCCTCGGCACAGGATAACTTGTAAGACCATTTGGGGACTCTTTAGAGACTGGCCTCAGCCCCCGTTCCCATTTTCATACACATCTGTCCACCTAGAGTCAGAGCCCGAGGAGCCATCTCTGAGGAGCTCTTATCCACACCTGCATCCAACACATCTGGAAGCCTTCCCCGTCCTTTACACATCTGAGAGGTGTCCGCAGGGTCTGTTTTAGACTTGTGTTGTAGATATTATCTGAAGCTGTGTTACTTTTGTTTATGCTGTGGAACACTTTTCTGAATGGTGTAAAGATGGGTTGCTTCTGTTTATGCAGCATTTGTTTAACTCTGTGAAGCTGTGATTCTTTGCCTGTCTAGAACACCTGATGGTCTAATAAAGAGCTGAATGGCCAATCGCTAGGCAGGAGCAAGGATAGGTGGGACTGGCAGGCAGAGAGGATAAAGAGAAGGAGAAATCTGGGAGAAAGAGGAAGAAGGAGCAAGAGAACAGGAGAGGAGGACACTAGGTGTCAGCCACCCAACCAGCCAGCTAGCAGTAGTACTCAGTAGTACTCAGGTTCCATTCCTTGAACCTTGTACCTTTCCTTGAAAGAGGCAGCTGGCACTTTCCTCACAGGTGGGTCACATTTTAGTATCCTGGAGGTCGCCATTTCAATTTAGGCTTCCCCTTCACAGCTTTGCACAACACTCACTTAGGAGTTCCGTGCAGGGCCTCCAACCTGCTGCACATAACCTGGCCTCAGTGGCTTCCTGAACCCTTGATGGAAACCTTCATGGCCCCATGGGTTTTACAAAACCAAAAAAAAAAATGCTGTGTCGATGACTCCAAGTTCTGCTGCTAGCCTCGAGACCTCTCGGACCACGGTTGCAATGACCAAGTGCCTTCCCAGCTGAACTGAAGAAAAGATGCCCCACGCATTTGTCTGCCATAGATGTTTTATACCCTGGATTAGAGTGCCCCATGGGTAGGGTCTTGCCCTCAAGACACTACTCAGTTTCTCTCTGTGTAATAAACTCTTTCAACAGTTACAGTGTTTTGTCTTCACTCTCTTGTCTGCTGGTTTACAACCTCAATCTCTTTCCAATGTGTTTCATCCCCAAACTGAACATTTCCCACACATTTCCCTTCTACTTTCTGGCAATACCCATGCTACAACCTGACTGCTATGGTGTCTTGACGTTTTCTCTTCTAAAAGTCCTATTCCATTACCTTTGATTTCGGCTTCCCTCAAATTTTCAGAGCATGTACAAACCATAGGCAAGTGCATTGCCAAAACGTGACATGAATTACCTCTAGCCCAAGTCCAAATAGAATTCTTGCATCCCTCTAAAACCTTGATGGCACAGGCTCTACTGACTATATTTCCATTTTATGAACAATTTTCATTAAACGAAACAAAAAGTAAGTAAAGAGTTGAGATGGCCTTGGAGCAGCAAAGATGGCTCAGTGGTTAAGAATTCAGCCACACAGGACTGGGATTCAGGCCTCAGGGGAGTATGCAGAAGATGAGGTAGGAAGATCATAGGATAGAAGACTCCGAGGAAGCAGGGCCTTCATGATGCAGGATGGATGCACATCTGACCTCACAGAGAAATGCATAGTCTTGTAGCATGCACAGGGCCTACACAGGTTCAAGCTAGAGGAGTCCCAGTACTAAGGGGGAACTGGGATCCCTTATCCCAAACCCAGAATTGACAATCTCCAATTGTCAACTGGATGTCAACAGAAAAAAATGGCATTTCATTGAGTTTACAAGGCAACTTAGGCAAGGTGTTGTGCCTAGGACTACATGTTTTGGGGGATGCTTTGTCCCATAATGCTTTGTTTGTTTTTTTTTTTTAACCTTACTTGCCTTTTGCTTATCTATTATGGTATCCGATGTATTTTTATGGGTTTGGTGTTTGCGCATGTATCTCTGAGTGTGTATGTGTTTCTCGTACTTTTTCTTAAGTTTTGTTTTGGCTTTTTTTCTATTTGCTTGCTTTGTTTTATTCTGTTTTGGGGGGTGGGGGAATGTTTTGGTTTATTTTGTTTCTTTGCCTGTTTGTTTTCTATAGAGAGAAAAAAGGCATGAAATTGGATGGGTAGAGAGGTGGGAAGGATCAGGGAGGAAATGAGGGAGCAAAAACTATGATCAAAATATATTGTGTTAGTCGGGCGGTGGTGGCACACACCTTTAATACCAGCACTCAAGAGGCAGAGGCAGGCGGATCTCTGTGAGTTTGGGGCCAGCTAGTTCCAGCACAGGCTCCAAAGCGATAGAGAAACCCAGTCTAGAAACCTCCCCACAAAAAAGTTTTTTTTTTAAACATCTACAGTTTTGTCTTTCTGAATTCTTTTTTGTTTGGTTTTATTTTAAAAAATTTTCTTTTCTGAGACAGGATTTCTCTGTGTAACAACCCTGGCTGTCTTGGAACTCTCTTTGTAGACCAGGCTGGCCTCAAACTCACAGAGATCTGCCTGCCTCTGCCTCCCAAGTGCCGGGCATTGCCACTACCCAGCTTCTTTCTGAATTCTTAACTCTCATTTGTATGCACATCTTCATCGCAGAGATTAACAAAATGCTTTTCAGCATTAGCATATGTAATGGAAATATGATTCAAGACTACAAGAAAAAAATCTAAAGATTTTTGCTATTTTTCAGTGAGGAGGTTAAATCTAAGGCCTCGCTTATGCTGGGTAAGCCCTTCACTGCTGACCTACACTCCCATTGTAAAGACATATGTATAAACTCACACACATCACTAGTACCTATAGAGATCAGAAGAGGGTGCTGGATCCCCTGGAACTGGTGTTACAGATGGTTGTATCATTTGATTTGATTTTTTTTTTGAGACAAAGTTTCACTATGTAACTGTGACTGACCTAGAACTCACTAGACCCTGCTGGCCTTGATCTCACAGAGATCCACCTGCTCTACCTCCGCAGTGCTTGGATT